GGGGTCTTTGTACCAGGCATTTGATCCCACAAGGGCCAGGTTCTCCCTTAGCGAAAGGAAGATGAAGGGGTGAGAAGGTGAGAATTGGGCTCCTTTGCCTGACTCTTGGGAAGACCCTCTGGCCCTCGCACCTGGCATTTGCAGATGTGAGTGGTGTGTATGTGTGTGTGTGGGGGGGACAGGACAGCCCCCTGCATGGAGTGATCTGGAAGAAACTGTGGAGGCTCCCCCTCCTCTGGGGAGCCATGAGAGCTTGGGATTTTGGGTGAAAACAACCTGCTTTTTCTCTTCTCGGGCCAGGGTGGAGGAGGGGAGGCGTTGTAATTACAGCACCTTGGAGATGATTAGTTTAGCTAATCTGCTTTGTGGGCCTGATGAAAAGATAATACTGAGGAAGCATTGCTGGAGGTGGCTGCTTCCGGGATGGGAGGCCCAGGGTGGGAACCAGGTAGGAACCCATTAGTCACCCCTCGCCAGATCACACCCAGCTTGGGTGACCTGGGCCGGCTTCTCCACTGCCCCGGCCCCACCCCTGCACTGGCTCCTCCTCACCTGGCCCTCCTGGGTCCAGGGAAAGCAGGTGGGGAGGGTCAGTCTGGGCCACCAGGGGACCTGTGGGTGGGCGGCTCCCTTTTCTGAGAGACAGTCTTTCTCTGGCCTGGGACGGGGTCTCCCTTAGGGTGAGCTGGTGCAGTGGGGCCTTTTGAGTGTAGGGATTTGAGCTTAGTCTGGGCTGGATGTTAAGCCCAGATAGTGTGGCAGTCAAGCACCCCTTTGGCAAATGTGAGGCCCTGGGGGCTCTCCTGAGACCTGGGGAAAAAAAAAGGAAAAAGGTGCATCTCACATTGAGGCCCTTGTGTGGCCTCCATCAAGTCACTTCACTTCTCTGAGCCTCCGTGATGTCTAGCAAAGGAGACTAATTAGTGATCCTGGCTGAGTCCTGAGTTCTGTCCTGGTACCACATGGCCTCCTAGCTCCACCAGGTGTGACCCCACCCAAGCATCAACCCCTGATGTCACAGAGACCCCGAAACAAAACTCAGGACAATACTGACGTAGCTAGTGAGTATTTGGTAAGGAGTGACTTAATAGCAGGGAAACTTTTCCTAACACAACACTTTCTTTTGTCCTTTCCTTTTCTTTCCTTCCTTTCCTTTTCCTTTTCTTCTCTCTCCTTTTCTCCCCTACCCTACCCTTTCTTCCTTCCTTCTTCCTCCCTCCCTCCCTCCCTCCTTCTTTCCTTCCTTCCTTCCTTCCTTCCTTTTCCTTTCTTTCTTCCTCTTCCTTTCGTTCGTTCGTTCGTTCGTTCGTTCCTTCCTTCCTTCCTTCCTCCCTCCCTTCCTTCCCCTTCCTTCCTTCCTTCCTTCCTTCCTTCCTTCCTTCCTTCCTTCCTTCTCCTTCCTTCCTTTCTTCCTTCCTTCCTTCCTCTCCTTCCTTTTCCTTCCTTCCTTCCTTCCTCCCTTCCTTTTCCTTCCTTCCTTCCCTCCCTCCCTCCCTCCCTCCCTTCCTTCCTTCCTCCCTCCCTCCCTCCCTCCCTTCCTTCCTTCCTTTTCCTTCCTTCCTTCCTTCCTTCCTTCCTTCCTTCCTTCCTTCCTTCCCTCTCTCCCTCCCTCCCTCCCTCCCTCCCTTCCTTCCTCCCTCCCTCCCTCCTTTCCTTCCTTTTCCTTCCTTCTTTCCTTCCTTCCTTCCTTCCTTCCTTCCTTCCTTCCTTCCTTCCCTCCCTCCCTCCCTCCCTTCCTTCCTTCCCCTTCCTTCCTTCCTTCCTTCCTTCCTTCCTCCCTCCGTCCCTCCCTCCGTCCCTCCCTCCATCCCTCCCTCCCTTCCTTCCTTCCTTCCTTCCTTCCTCCCTTCCTTCCTTTTCCTTCCTTCCTTCCTTCCTTCCTTTTCCTTCCTTCCTCCCTCCCTTCCTTCCTTTTCCTTCCTTCCTTCCTTCCTTCCTTCCCTCCTTCCTTCCCTCCTTCCTTTCTTTTTCCTTCCTTTCTCTCTTTCTCTCGAGCGCTTATTGACGGGGGCTATTTAGCTCTGTGCCCCCCGGCTCCAGCAGAGGGGGAACCATGAGGTGTCTGGGCGTCCTGTATGCAAAGCTACCTTTCTAGCACCCAAATCAGGCACTTGCCTCAACCTTTTCCTGGAATTCCGAGCAGCCGAGAGTTGCAGGGACGATAACCCCATTCTCCAGATAAGCACGCAGAAACCTCAGCAGGCCCATAACCTGCCCAGGGCTGCCCGCTGCCCAGGGCTGGTCCCAGAGGGCTGAGGGTCCTCGAGCTCCAAACCCTGAGCCTGTCCTGCTGGATCAACTCAGGGTGACTGGGAGAATGTTTCAATCCCCACCCCCCTCATTTTTGAGCTCCTGGCTTGGGAAGCTGGGGAGAACTCAGCACACAGGAAGGTATGTGGGGGTGGTGAGGGTGGGGGGCAGTTTGGTCAGGTGGAAGTGACTCATGGTCTGGCCTCCCCCGCAGCTGGGGTGCCTGCGTCTGGTGGAGGGGGGCCAGTGCCCCAAAACGGAGGCCTTAGGAGGTCAGTGCGGAGGACAAGGCAGGGCAGGGGTCCAGACGCCTTCTGGCTGGAGCCAGGCAGGACCCCAGGCTATTCTGGGCTTGTCCTGCCTGCTCTGTGAGGGGCTGGGGGCAATGCCAGAATCATGGGGAGGAGGGGAGGCGGCTTAGGGAGGGGGCAGAGAAAGGGGGGCAGAGTAGGACGAGGCCATGGTCTGACTGGATTGTACCAGTCGGCGCAGCCCGGCTGCTCCTGGGCGGGAGCTGTCTGGCTCGGCCCCCGCCCTGGGGCCCCAAGTCTGGGGGGCTGACAGGAGTGGTTTTTAGCTGCCAGGAAGGCCTTTTTGGGGACACAGGGTAGGGTTAGTCAGGGCCTTGCTGCTCCTGGAAGGGCCAGTGTCACTGGCCTCCCAGGCCTGCCTGGTTCTGGTACTGTGAACACCAGAATGGGCCTGGGCTAGGGCTTCTGTGAAGGCCCTGGGGATGGAGCCTGTCATCCTGGGCTTCCGGGTCCCCAAGCCAGGCAGGGGCCCCAGGCACGAGGGCACTGACCCTGGGGAAGAACAGGCTGAGGGGCCCCTGAGAGAGGGAAGAACAGGAACCAGGGCTGGTGGCTTGTCCCAGGAGGGCCCTTGCTCACATGTGCCCATTACCCCCTGAGGGCCAGAACTGGGGACTGACGCTCTCAGGCCCGGTAGGAGGAGGGACTTCCTGTCGGTGAGCTCCCATCTGGACACGATGATGCAGGGCAAAGGGTAGGGTGGCCATCTGTGAGCCCGAGATTGGCTGGGCTCCCTCGGGCAAGCCAAGACCTGGCCCAGGAGGGGCAGGGTCCATGAGCAGCTGGCCAGGACCCTGTGAGGTGGAGTTGAATGACGGGCTGGTCACCAGGGCTCTGTCCTGACAGCGGGACCCTGAGCCCTCTTTTTCCCAGCCACTATGGGCCAGGCGCGGGGAGGAAGCTCCGTGAGGGTTCCCTGGGGTGGGGGGGGGGGGGGCGTGGAGGGAAGCTTGTCTTCCTGTGACCCACACAGTGGCAACACACCTGGTTTTCTCTGTCTCTGGTCAGTGGCAGCCAGGAGGGATAGTGGGGGATGGAGAAGACAATGGATATGCAGCTCAGCTGAGGGTGAAGAGGGAGCTGGACACATAATTTGTTCTTCTCTCTTGATTGAAAAAGTGAGCCAGTGAGCTAGTAAAGTGGGGAAGGTTCGATCCCTGGCACCCAATATGGTCCTCCCAAGCCCTGTTAGGAGCAATCCCTGAGCACAGAGCGAGACGTAAGCCCTGAGCATTGCTGGGTGTACACCCTCCCCCCCAAAAAAAATATGGGGCAGGTTATCCGAGCCCCACAGGGTCCCGTGAGCACTTGCAGAAGTGATTCCAGAGCATCGAGTACCACTGGGTATAGCCTCCCTCCAAATCACAGCTGATCCGTGTAAAAAAAAACAAACAACCCCCCCACCCCCAGTGATATTTATTTATTTGCAGGTGGTGTACCCAGGTGTGCTCAGGGTTCAGGATTTAGAACCAACCGTATATGGTGCTGGGGATTGAACGCAGTTGGTCCACATGTAAGGCAAATGCCCTGCCAACTATACTATCTTTCTGGCCCCCACGCAGTGGAATTTAGAAAAAAAAAATTTCTACTTTGTTGAGGCAAGAAAAAAAAAAAAGCTAACCCTTGATCCTACTTTATGGAGGGGCAGGGATTTAACTCAGCCTGGAGCGCATGACCTCCATGCATGAGGCTCAGGGTTCGATCCCGGGTCCCTGCAAAAAGAGGGAAGGAAGGGAGGGAGGGAAGAAAGGAAGGAAGGAGCCTGACGTCTCTTTCCCTCCTCTGCTCTTGGGATCGTCTTGCTGTGCAGCGTCCCACTTGATGATCTCATGCTCTGTATACGAAAAACAAGCGGAACCGAACCTTGGTCCAAATGTTGCTTCTCTCAGCGGAGACTGTGCAGGGCACTGAAAGTCTGGTAGCATGAAACTCTGCGGGGATTAGCTGCACCCCTAAGTGGAGATCCCCACCTCTGGAGGCTCCTGGGGCTCTCTGGGGCCTGTGGGGTTGGAACAGGGAGGATGTGGGGCGTCGTCTCTGTTCGCATCAGCCCTTTGCATTTGCTTCCTGAGGTGGGGTAAAGTGTTTTTCCAGGCCCAGGAGTCCTGGCTTGGGGGCGCCTGCAGGGAAGGGGACCCCAGCCCTCATCTTCTCCAGGGGAGCCTGCAGGTTCCAGGGCTAGGGCCATGGAGAGGGACATTTCCTGCCCCTTGGGTCTCCTTTGTTTTCCCACCCGGGTTTGTTTGCTTTGGGATGGAGCCCAGAAAGTGGAAAACAAACAGCAGCTGGGTTGGCCGGACCCCGCGCCTCCCGGCCCGGCAGGTCCACTGCGGCCGCCCGGGCTCTCCTCCAGGCCGGAAGTGAGGGGCCTTCCTCTGGACGCCCAACATGGGCTTCTGTCTTCTCCTGTCCCCTGGGCCCTGACCCCGCACCACTCCAGGGGAGTGACCATCTGATGGAGGAGACCCCAGCACCTGCCAAAGGACCTCTAGTCCACAGAGGTTTCCTCCTGGAGCCACCAGTCTCAGGGAAGAGGCCTCGGTGGGACGCCCCAGTCTGATGGGGGAGGCAGAGCTCACAAGGGAAGCATTTGAGGTCAGTCCTGGGCTTTGCTAGAGTTTGTTTCTGTCTGTGCTTGGGGGTGGGCAGAGCCAGATGGGAGAGGGAGGAGGCTGGGGGGTCCTGGGGCTGCTGAGAGGAGAATATCCATGTCTGATTGTGAGCCACTCCCAGCTCAGCACACAACTGGGGACAGGACCCCTCCCTCCCTGGACCTCCCCACAGAGGTGGAGGGTCAGGGTCTGGCCTGGGTGGAGGTAGTTTTTTGTTTGCAAGGACAGGGGAGGGCTCCTGGGTTTTGGCTGGGTCCTGGATCCCCCCAGGCTGACTGACATCCTCATCTATGCTGGCATCGCTGCCAGGCCTCTCCTGTCCAGCACAGTTAGAACAGAAGCAAGAACCGCAGCGCTCCTTCCCCAGAGATCATCCAGCCCGGGAGCACTCAGACAGTCGGGGGCTGATGGGGCCCTCCCTTGCACCCACATTCTGCTCCCCCCGGTGTGTCTCAGGAGGCCTATGCCCACGTGCTGGCACTGGCCCAGGTGTCTGCAGCGCTCAGCACCCGTCCCCGTGGATGTCTGTGGGAGTTATTTTTAACACTTTTGGGGTCTTGGGTGATAACTGGTGGTGGTGCTCAAGGGCTATTCCTGGCTCTGTGCTTAGGAGTGACCCTTGGTGGTGCTTGGGGGACCATATGTGGTGCTGAGGTCAAACCAGAAACAGGGCACAGAAGGAAATGACCTTAACCCCCATACTAGGGGGTGGAGCAATAGCACAGCAGGTAGGGCGTTTACTTTGCATGCAGCCAACCCAAGTTCGGTTCCCAGCATCCCATGTGGTCCCCTGAGTACCATCAGGGGTGATTCTTGAGTGCAGAGCCAGGAATAACCCCCTGTGCATCGCCAGGTGTGACCCAAAAAAAAAAACCACACTAGCTCTTCAGGAAGTGTTATTTATTTTTTAGTGTTTGGGGGCCCACACTTGGCCAGGCTTGGAGGCTACTCCTGTCTCTGTCCTTGGGCTGGGGGAAAGGGAGGGTCATTGCTATTGGTGCGTAGGGGACCATGCAATGCCTGGGATGGAATCCGAGGTCCCACATGCACAGTATGTCCTCCATCCCATTGAGCCATCTCTCTGGCCCTACTTTTATTTATTTATTTATTTCTGTTGTTTGTTTGGTTGGGGGCGGGGTAGGCTATGTCCAGCAGTGCTCAGGGATCACTCCCAGTAGGCTTAGGGGACTATCTGGAGTGCCAGGGGTTGAACTGAACAAGGATTGGCTGCAGACAAGGCCAGCGCCTGACCCGCTGTACTATTGCCCTGGCCTTCAGTCTGTTGGTTTTTAATTGAAGCCACTTCTGGGGTGTTTGTGGGGGCACTGCGTGGTGTAAGAAGAGACCAAACTTGGGGCCTCAAATGTGGCAGGCGGGTCCCACGGCTTGAAACACACACCCAGCCCAGGTGGACATCCTGGTTCCCGTCAGGATGCTCTGTGGGGGGACAGTCTCGGAGTCAGGGTGTCTGTCCCTGCCCGGGTGGGGGGGGAGTTGCCAGGACCAAGGTGGAAAAGGGGATGAAGGACAGGGTCAGCCTAAAGCAGGCTTCCTGCAGGCCGGAAGGTTCCTGCCCGGCCCCCCCCCCCAGACCCTGTCCCCTCTCATCCTGTGCCCTGCTCAGCGCCCCACCCTACCCTGTCATCTCGGAGTTGGCTTTTCCCTCCAGGCCTGCCAACAATGGAGCCTGACGGCCAGACAAAGGCGCCCCATTCAGCTCCGAAGCCGCCCGCCCGTCCGGCCCGTGTCTGGCTCTGCCGTCCACGCAGGGTACTGGGCAGGGCCGCGTCTGTCCGCATCCACCCAGCTCCGTGCCGGCGCCGCCACACAGGGTCCAGGTCCAGCTGGGTGCGGCCCTTTCCCTCTGGGATCTGCTGCACCAGCACTTGAGGGGGAATTTCCCGGGTGCTCCTGCCCGCCCACTTGCCTCCAACCTCCCCAGGAGCCCGCCCCGCCCAGGTGCTCTGCCCAAGTTCTGTTGTCTGGGAGCTGGCCCCCAGCTCTGAGCATGCCCCCTTACTTATCCTTCTGTGCCCCATCCTGGGGCCCCTGGGCCCCTGGCATCCATGTCTACGTTCTGCCGTCAGCGCCCAAGGACATGAGTTTCGGGGAGCTGAGTTCCGCAGTGTGGAGCCCTCCCTCTCCTGCGGCTGGGCTGTCTGGCCCTCTGCCCTTGACCCCAGGGTGGGGTCTGGGCCCCACTAGGAAGTGGCCCCTGGCTGGGCTCAGAGGCTGCTGTGGTCTCCCTGTGGAGCCGTCTTCCTGCCAGGGTCTGGTGCCCGGGGGCAGGACAGCCGTCTGCCTGTCCAGGCAGCTGGGTTTCCCCTCACAGACCTGGTGCCCTCCGGGTGGGGTGACCTCTGTCCCGCTCCGGGCAGCATTTCAGCCCTGTTTCTCTTGGCATCGCCCGGGCAGGTGAGGGAACAACTGAGCCATTCCCCGTCCCCCCACCCTGCCAGCCTTAACCTTGGTGTCCCCTTCAGATGTGTCAAGAGGGGGGTGCCCACGGCCCGTCCTGCTCAGCAGGGAGACCCTCGTTCAGGCAGAATGGGGAGGGGTGCCCTGCACTGGTCAGGCCAGAGCTGTCGACTCACACAGACGTGGCACGGAACCCCCACCCCTCTCCCCTGCCTGCTCCCCTCGCCCCAGTCTATGGCAGCCACGAGTCGCTCTCTCTCCCTCTCCCCTCCCACCCTTGGGGGCCAGAATGGCAGCTGTGGGTGGCATTGGTCAGTGTTAGGGGTTGCAGACGCTCCGGGCAACCCCGAGCTCATGGAGGGTGTTTCCCCCGTGATCAGTCTAGTCCGAAACTCTGACTCACGGCTCACAGTGCTGCAAGGGGGGTGGGGTGGAGGGGAGCTGTCTCCTGCCCCGGCCTGTTCCAGGGGTGCCCTGGGGCAGAGGAGGAGCTGGCACTGGCTGGCGTCACCATAAAAGGCTGAGACCTGCCTGTCCTGCCTCCTTCTGGGAGGATGGTGGGGGGCAGGCTGTACCCCACCCTCATCTGTACCTCTGGCCTAGAGTGAAGGGGTTTGAGGTGTGGGGTGCTTCTGGGGGTCCCACCTGGGGTCTGCCTGCTTGGAAACCGCTCACAGTGTGGGGTGGTCACATCTGTGCCTGCTGGGCGGTGAGGGGTCTGCCCAGGGAACCCCACAACTGCTCCCCAATCTGGCCTCGCCCACCCACTCTGCCCTGTCTCTCCTGTGCCCTCAGTTTCCCCTGGTGTAAGGAGGGGAGCAGAACTTGAGCTTTAAAATCCGCCCCCAAGGTGCCTGGCTCAGGGGAGGGAACCAGTGGGAACTTCCCGCCCTGCGCAGGGTCAACTCAGCTCTTCATGGACCCCAAGTCTCTGCCAGAGAGGGAGGGGGGTTGCAGGGGCAGAGACTCTGAATCCCCACAGTGGCCTTCAAGAGAAAGGGGTGTGGGGTGCCTTGCTTTATAAATGAGGACACTTGAGGCTCTTGGGAGATGTGAACTAAGGGGCTGAACATATTTGTGGGGGACCCCAAATTCTGTGAAAAGCTCCTTGAAGCTGGGGTGCTGGAGGGCCGGAGTGGGGGCATTCAGCATCTGGGGCTCCCTGGTGACCCCACCCCAAGCTCAGGAAAGGAGATCCAGCCCTGGCTCCCAGATTCTCAGGCTCCCGGGAAACCTGTCAGACTGCTTCCTGCCCAGCCCCGTTTCCTGCCGGTGGCTGGGGTGCGGCTCAGTTCCCAGGGAGCACCAAGGGGTGGGGGTGGGGGTTCCGCAGGACCTGGGGAAGGTCAGGCTGGGCCAGCAGGCAGTGAGGGGAGGGGGGCATGCGCAGCTGACCTTTTACTGTGACTGTCCTCCCCCTACTCTGGGCTGGAAGTGGGGGGGTGGCCAGCCTGGGACTCACCCACCCCAGCACCTTGGGACGCCACAAACACCAGGGCATGTGCTTGTTCCCCAACTCTGCTTCCTGGGGCCTCGGGGTTGTGGGTGATTGGCAAGGGGTCTCTGCTGATTCCCGGCTCTCCCTTGGTGTCTCCGCAGCCGCCATGGAGGTGATGAACCTGATCGAACAGCCCATCAAGGTGACCGAGTGGCAGCAAACCTACACCTACGACTCGGGCATCCACTCGGGCGCCAACACCTGCGTGCCCTCCGTCTGCAGCAAGGGCATCATGGACGAGGACGAGGCCTGCGGGCGCCAGTACACAGTCAAGAAGACCACGACATACACCCAGGGGGTGCCCCAGAGCCAAGGTGGGGGTTCCTTCCTGCCCCCCGTGTGGGAATGTGCCCACAGAAAACCAGACTGGGCTCTGGAGGGAGGTCAGGGCAGGGGGAGGCTTATATTCGAGGGCTTCTAATCTAAGAGAGGAGACAGCGCTTGTTCTTAAAGACCCACCTAGTCTGAGGGGGTGAGGCACAGCTCCTCATCCTAGAGATCCAGCCAGTCTGACAGGGGAGGCATGGTTCTTAGGCTTAGAAACCCATCTAGTCATCTGAGGGAAGGCACAGCTCTTACTCCAAGAGCCCCACCCAGTCAGAGGGAGGAGGCACAGTTCTTACTCTCAGAGCCCCACCCAGCCTGAGAGAAGAGGTGCAACTCTTTCTCTTAGAGACACACCCAGCCTGACCGAGGACGCACAGTGATTGCCCTTAGAGACCTACCCAGTCTGAGGAGGGAGGAAAGTTCACACGCATCCGGACCCACCCAACCTGAGGGAGGAGGCAGATTTCTCTCTGGGCACCTCTAGAATGGAGAGACTCTGGCCTCAGGGTGCCACAGAGGAGGAAGAGGCAGAGTTTTGTTCTGTATGAATTTCCAGTGGGGAGACATGGGTGGGGAGCCGGGGCTGTGGAGAGAGCACAGCTCTGCCCTTCACGCCAGGAACCCCAGCCCCAGTTTGAGTCTGGAGGAACCTCAGATTAGGAGCCCGGGGCTGTGGGGGGCCGGGTGATTCTGGTGCTCCCCTCTGGTGGGGTGAGGGGCTGTACTTTAAAGGGCTGGCCAGGTGCCTTATTTGTAAGAGGCTCCAGTTCCATCCTGGACACCACATGGCCTCCTGAGAACCACGGGGTGTTGCCCTAGTGGTCCTCAGCACAGCTGAGCCAAAGCAATGAACCATTCAGTACAGCAGGGAATGGCCCTCGGGTCCCAGAGCACTTCTAGGGAGCACCCCCTTCCAAGATAAGGACAACACTCAGGCTCTGGTGGAGAAACACCCGACTCTGGGGCTCTCCAGGCAGAAGCAGGTGGGGGCTTTGGAACTCTGGTCCACGAAGGCCTCCAGGCCCTAAACATTGGGGGTACCCATAGCTCTGTCTCTGCACCTGGGGGTCAGGACTAGCATTGGGGTGTGGGGCGCTGTCTCCTGGGGCTGCTCCAGCAGGACAGTCCTGGGGACCCTGGGCACCCACTGGGAGTGGCACCTGCAGGCTGAGCCGAGAGCACACCTCCTGTGCCCCAAAGCCCACAGCTCTGATGTGCACCCCCTCCCATCTGTGTGTGCCACTGTTGGCCAGCCCAGGTCGTGGGGAAGACGCCGCCTCCAGGAGGAGGAGGGTGTAATTACTTACCATCATGAGATTTTAGGGTTGAAAAGAGACGGAGCTTGTCTCATCCCACCCCACCTCATTGTTAGGGAGGCGCCAGAGCCGGCCTCTGGGCCCTGGAGTCAGGCTGTCTGAGCTCCTCAGAAGCTCTTCCCAGGCCTCAGTTTTCCCATCTGTAAAGTGGAGATAATGACAGGACTTCACCCGCAGGCTTGTGAGATTAAACGAGAAGACGTAAGGCGCACACTTAATTCACTGCCAGGCACATCCTAGGTACTCAAAAGATGTTAAATCTTGGAATTGGGGTGATGACTCAAGGACCCTGTAGGTATTTGGCAAGTGGGACCCCTGAACATCTCAGGAAGTAATCTCCAAGCACCGAGTTGGAAACAGTCCTAGAGCACTGCTGGGAGGGGACCCGACACTAAACAGAACAAAACAAATGTGAATTCTTTCAGCAAAAATAAGAAAATCAGCATAAAACAAAGGGAAAAAGCCTAGAAAGCTCCAGGTGTTCCATTTAATAATAGCACTGTAGCACTGTCCTCCCATTGTTCATCGATTTGCTTGAGCGGGCACCAGTAACGTCTCAGTTGTGAGACTTGTTACTGTTTTTGGCATATCGAATACGCCCAGCCTTGCCAGACTCTGCAGTGTGGGCAGAATACTCTTGGTAGCTTGCTGGGCTTTCCGAGAGGGATGGAGGAATCGAACCTGGGTTGGCTGCATGCAAGACAAACGCCCTATCCGCTGTGCTCCAGCCCGATTTAATAAAGGTAAAGGTAAAGGCCCTCCCGTTGATCGTCGATTTGCTCGAGCGGGCCCAGTAATGTCTCCATTGGAGACTTTGTTGTTACTGTGTCTGGCATATCGAATACTCTCGGTAGCTTGCCGGGCTCTCCGAGAGGGGCGGAGGAATCGAACTTGGGTCGGCCATGTTGGCCGCTTGTAAGGCGAATGCCTTACCGCTGTGCTATCGCTCCAGCCCCCCGATTTAATAATAATCATTATTATTATTAGCATTAATAATATAATTTTTTGTTTGTTTTGTTTTTGGATCACACCTGGCATTACTCTGCACTCAGGAATTACTCCTGGCAGGGCCCAGGGGACCATCTGGAATGCTGGGTTTGAACCCAGGTCGGCCACGTGCAAGGCAAATGCCCTGCCTGCTGCATGATTGCTCTGGCTAATCACTAGCTTTTTCTTTTTTTTTTTTAGCTTTTAGAGTCACAACCAGTGATGTTCAGGGGTTACCTCTGTCTCTGCACTCAGGAATTAGTCCTGGTGGTACTCAGGGTGGATCATTTGGTATGCTGGGGATTGAATTTGGGTTAGCTGCATGCAAGACAAATGCCCAACCACTGTACTATTGCTCTGGCCCCTCACTAGCCTTTTTGTAATGACATGTGGCCGAGCTGGGTTCGATTCCTCTGCGCCTCTCGGAGAGCCCGGCAAGTTACCGAGAGTATCTTGTCTGCGCAGCAAAGCCTGGCAAGCTACCCATGACGTATTCAATATGCCAAACACAGTAACAACAGGTCCAAAATGGAGATGTTACTGGACCCGCTTGAGCAAATCGATGAACAGCGGGAGGACAGTGACAGTGCCATCACAGGATGCCTTTTCAGAGAAATCATAACTGTTATTTAATTCTAAAAGTATGGGGGTGGGAGCCAGGGTGACAGTTTCAAGGGCTGGAGCTCACTGCATGGGCAAGGGGTGGGGGTGGGGGTGTCCAGGGTTGGTTTCCAGCAGTGTGTGATCCCAGTCCCTCCACGAAAGAGAACACTGCAGTAGCTGGAGATCATGGTGCCCACTGTACAGTGGACACAGCAGAGGCAAAGAGGGACCTCAGGTCACTACTACACTTGAACTTCGGGGACGGCCCCTCCAGCCACCGCCGCTCAACCCCTGTCCCTCCGCCCCAGGTGACCTGGAGTACCAGATGTCCACCACAGCCAGAGCCAAGCGTGTGCGAGAAGCCATGTGCCCCGGCGTGAGCGGCGAGGACAGCTCACTGCTGCTGACCACGCAGGTGGATGGGCAGAGCACCAACCTGCAGCGGCTGGCAGAGCCGTCCCAGCTGCTTAAGTCGGCCATTGTGCACCTCATCAACTACCAGGACGACGCCGAGCTGGCCACGCGCGCCCTGCCCGAGCTCACCAAGCTGCTCAATGATGAGGACCCGGTCCGTGGGGGCTGGCCTGGGGTGGCTGGGGAGGGCAGGGAGAGGGGTGCTGTGACATGGGAGGACCCGGTCCATGGGGGCCAGCCTGGGGTGTCTGGGCGGGGCCGTGGTGACCCAGGAGCGGGGCAGCAGGTGCCCCAGGCCCCCTGTTGATACCTGCCCTTGCTCTCTCCTGCCCCCCCCAGGTGGTGGTGACCAAGGCGGCCATGATTGTGAACCAGCTGTCCAAGAAGGAGGCATCACGGCGCGCCCTGATGGGCTCCCCGCAGCTGGTGGCCGCCGTGGTGCGCACCATGCAGAACACCAGCGACCTGGACACGGCCCGTTGCACCACCAGCATCCTGCACAACCTGTCGCACCACCGTGAGGGGCTGCTGGCCATCTTCAAGTCGGGCGGCATCCCCGCGCTGGTCCGCATGCTCAGGTGCGCCCCCTGCTGCGTTCGGGGTGCAGGCCGGGTGGAGGCGGGTCCAAGGCGCTGGGGCAGCAGGCAGCAGGGGTTGGCGCCCAGGGTGCGCTGTGAGTGGGGCTGGGCCAGCGCAGAGGAAGGGAAGAGTGTTGTGGGGGAGGAAGTGCAGGGATGTGTGTGTGTGTGGGGGGGGGACAGTATGTGCAAACGGAACAGGAGTGATAGTACAGCGGGAAGGGCGTTTGCCTTGCATGCGGCCAACCCAGGTTCAATTCCCAGCATCCCATATGGTCTCCACCCCAAAAAACATCACCAGGAGTAATTCCTGAGTACAGAGCCAGGAAGCCAGGAGTAAACCCTGAGCATCACCGCGTATAACCCCCAAACTAAAGCAAACACACACACACACACACACACACACACACACACACACACACACAAGAGCAAGTGCGAAGTCTCTGCCACTACCCCTAGGTGGAGGTCTCCACAGCCCCCATCCCCCCAAAAAACGTTCTGGTGCAGTGGAATGGCCAAGGGGCAAGGGGCAAAGTGCCGTTGCTAGGGGGTGTTGACACCTGATGGGGGGCCTCCCTCACGCCACCTGTCCCCCTCTCCCCCTGCAGCTCCCCCGTGGAGTCAGTCCTGTTCTATGCCATCACTACGCTGCACAACCTGCTGCTGTACCAGGAGGGTGCCAAGATGGCCGTGCGTCTGGCCGACGGGCTGCAGAAGATGGTGCCCCTGCTCAACAAGAACAACCCCAAGTTCCTGGCCATCACCACCGACTGCCTGCAGCTCCTGGCCTACGGCAACCAGGAGAGCAAGGTGGGCGCCCTCAGTCCCCACCTGCGGCCAGCTCCCTCCCCATTTCTGTAGGTTTTGGGTTGTTTGTGGGGGTCACACCTCATGGCATGGGGTGCAGGGCGGCCTGTGGGGCTGGAGCTACCACCATGGCACAATGCGGTTTTGTCTTGTTTCCTACGGGACGGGTGTTTATGTTGCGGATGGGGGTTTGGGCCACACCTGGTGGAGCTCAAGGATCCCTCCTGGCAGTGCTTGGAGGATTGGATGAAGTGCTGGGGATTGAACTAGGGTCAGCTGCGTTCAGGGCAAGTTCCAAACCTCATACCACTTCTCCGAACTGCTGTGTGACATTAAAAAAAAAATTGGCAAAAAAAAAAAATTGGCCGAGGTGGGGCAGAGGGTATGCAGAGTGATAGTACAGCGAATAAGACATATTTGCCCTGCACACAGCTGACCCAGGTTCGAGCCCTAGCATTCCATGTGGTTTCTTCCCCCTCTCGCCAGGAATGACTCCTGAGTGCAGAGCCAGGTTGATACCACCCCCTAATTTTGGGCAGGGGACCAGAGAGCGAGCGAGAGAGAGAGAGAGAGTACAGCGAGTAGGATGCCTGTCTTGCATGTGGCCAACCTGAGTTTGGACCCTGGCACCCCATATGGTCCCCTAAGCACCACCAGGAATGATCCCTGAATATCGAGCCATGAGTGAGCCAGGAGTACTGCTTAATGTCGCCCAAATAAACAGAAAAGCTCCCCCCCCCCAAAAAAAACCCCTCTCTGATGGCAAATTGATTTTCATTATGTGGTGGCACCTGACTTCATTCTGAGGGGAGCACCTACATTGCTTCCTTCTTCCCCACTTAATGGACGGCTATGGGCACACAGCTTCCCCCAAGGAGTGCGAAGCGTTTCCAGCTGTGGGGATGCGTGTTTTCAGTCACTGTCAACTTTCCCTCCAATTGCCACACTGCTTTCCCCAAGGGCAGTCTCAGCTCAGTCTCTCCTCCAGGCAAATCCTTCCCGCCCAGTTCTGACCTATTTACCAGGAATGAAAGCGCTGCAGGTCGCAGCTGAAGCTCAGGCTGTCAGTTCTGCAGTCCCTGGGCTCCTGCCGTCTATCCTCCTGCTCACACCTCCCACTTTTTTTTTTTTAATTAAATTACATTTTTTTAATCGAATCACCCTGAGGTACTGTTACAAGCTTTTATGTTTGAGTTTCAATCATACAGTGATGAAACACCCATCCCTCCACCAGTGCACATTCTCCACCACCAATGTCCCCAGTATATCCCCCCCCTTTCCAACCCTCCCCCTGCCTCCATGGCAGAAAATTTCCCCCATACTCTCTCTACTTGTGGGCATTATGGTTTGCAATACAGATGCTGAGAGGTGATCGTGTTTAGTCTTTTATCTACTTTCAGCACACATCTCCCATCTCCAACGATTCCTCCAGCCATCATTGTCTTAGTGATCCCTTTTCTATTCCTGCTGCCTTCTCCCCCAGCCCACGAGGCAGGCTTCCAACTATGGAGAAATAAATATCCCTGGCCCTTGTGTCTACTGTCCTTGACACCCCCCAACTTCTCCCGCAGCTCATCATCCTGGCCAACGGCGGCCCCCAGGCGCTGGTGCAGATCATGCGCAACTACAGCTATGAGAAGCTGCTCTGGACCACCAGCCGCGTGCTCAAGGTGCTGTCGGTGTGTCCCAGCAATAAGCCTGCCATCGTGGAGGCTGGTGAGTGTGGGGCTCGCTCCTGGGCACGGTCTAGAGGTCGGGGCTCCCTTCGCGGCTGACTCAACCCCCTCACCCCACCCCAGGCGGGATGCAGGCGCTGGGCAAACATCTGACGAGCAACAGCCCCCGCCTGGTGCAGAACTGCCTGTGGACACTGCGCAACCTCTCAGACGTGGCCACCAAACAGGTAAGGGCGGTTCCGTGCCCGGGTCCAAGGCTGCGTGCAACCTCCCAACCGGGAGCTGGCGGTGCTTAATGCTGTCCCCTAGCGGCCGAGTCTGGAAGTACGCTGACACCTACTGCTCTACGCCCTTCAGGGACCTATGTACCTGGGCAGGGAAACAGAGGAAGAGAGCCTGGGGTGTTCTAAGCCCGGCTTCTGCGCTAAAGCCCGAGCAGTTCTGACACAGAACCTGCGGTGAAAGTGGAGATCAGTAATGAGCGAGGAGACCGTTCTTTCTGCCCACCTCCGCTGGAAAAAACAAAGGAAGAGAAACCGTTTCTGGTTCAGATCTCCTGAGCGTCCTTCTTCCCGCCTATCATTTCCCGAGCACCCATTGGTGGCTCTGCCAGGCACCGAGAGCCTCAGCTCCTTCTTTCCCCCTTTCCACGCCTGGAGACCCCACAGGCCTGGGGGCTAATAGTCCTTGGTCAGAGCAAAGAAAATGGCAGAGCTGGGATTTGAACCAGGAGTCTGGGGTCTCCAATGCCTAGCCAGACCTCCTAGGAGAAATGAGGCTTTTGGGTTAGGGGGTCACCGCCAGGAGAACTCTGGGCATGGGGACAGTGAAGGCCAGAAAGGGGGGCATGAGAAAGTGGGTCTTCAGGATCTCAGGAATGTGACTTCTTCCACAACCCCCCTTTTCCCCTTTTTCCTTAGCACCCCCCCCCCCAACAAGGGGCAGGGGTGTGGCAGGAAGAACACGAAGCTCATAGGCAGTATCAGTATCTGAGCCTCCCACAGTCTCCCTGCCGGGAGCTGGCTGCGCTAAATGGCTAAATGCTACCCCCTGGCGGCCGAAGTACATGGAGCAAGTTCTGGTCTAGCAGGATACAGGGTGCAGAGATGCTCACCCACACCCAGGCAGGGTCCGCTGGGGCTCCGCCAAGGGGGCCCGTGCTCCCCTGGGCCTAGGAAGCCGACCCCTCACGCCCCCTGCCCCACCCCCCGCAGGAGGGTCTGGAGAGCGTGCTGAAGATTCTGGTGAACCAGCTGAGCGTGGACGACGTCAACGTGCTCACCTGCGCCACGGGCACGCTGTCCAACCTGACGTGCAACAACAGCAAGAACAAGACGCTGGTGACGCAGAACAGCGGCGTGGAGGCGCTCATCCATGCCATCATGCGGGCCGGCGACAAGGACGACATCACCGAGCCCGCCGTCTGTGCTCTGCGCCACCTCACCAGCCGCCACCCGGAGGCTGAGATGGCCCAGAACTCCGTGCGCCTCAACTATGGCATCCCGGCCATCGTCAAGCTGCTCAACCAGCCTGGCCAGTGGCCACTGGTCAAGGTACCCCTGAGCCGGGTGGTGGGGGGTGAGGGGATGAGGACCAGCCAGAAGGGACTGCGGGGTCAGGGGGATTTGCTGGAAATGAGGAGCCCTCTCACCTCTGACCCAAAACAGGAAGTGAGGTTCTCAGGGTGAGGGTAGACCTCCCCAGTCTCCCTGCTCCTCTGTTCTCTCCTGATTTTTTTGGGGGGGGAGGTGCCCACACCCAGCAATGCTCAGGGGTAACCCCTGGCTCTGCACTCAGGAATACTCCTGGCATTGCTCGGGAGATCATATAGGATGCCGGGGATCGAACCCAGGTTGTTCAGGTGCAAGGCCAGCGTCCTCCCACTGTCTTTCAGCCCTTCTCTCCAGAATCTTCCCCTCCTGAGCTCAGTTGTTTGCGGGAGATGTAAATTCTGATGTGTGGGGTGGACTTGGAGCACTGGTGTGCCTTCTGCTGCCAGGTCTGGGGGAGAGTCTGTCCCAACGGGAGGCCTTCAAAGACAAAGCCAGGCCCACTGAGGGTTCAGGGGAACCCTTAGTGTCTGCCATGGGGGAATCTTCTTTTAGGGAGATCACTTGGGACAGGCGGCTGGTATCGGCCAGGTTTTTGACAACTTACTCATCAGGATCAGAATAATCATGCTGGCCTCAGACGGCTGCAGCATGTGCTCTGCATGCAGGAGGCTTGGGTTCAAGTCTCTGCATCATCTGGTCCACTGGGCATCATCGAGAGTGACCCCTGGGGGGGTCTGGAGTAATAGCACAGTGGGTAGGGCCTTTGCCTTGCACACGGCCGACCCGGATTCGATTCCCAGCATCCCATATGGTCCCCCAAGCACTGGCAGAAGTAATTTCTGAGTGCGAGTCAGGAGTAACCCCTGAGCATCACCGGGTGTGACCCCCCCAAAAAAAGTGACTCCTGAACAAAAACCAGTCACACCCTAATCACAGCCAGGTGGACCCAGAACCCTACCCCCCCAAAAAAGAATGAGAATTCCCCCAAATTTTTCTCAGTTATTGCATCTGAATCATAGGAATTCCCCCTTCCCCAAAAAATTATTGCCAAGTTGTGCCTTTTGTTCTAGGCAATGGTCAATGAACACAGTCTTAGCACCTGTTTACACTGAGTGGCTGCTATTACAGATGTGGGGGCTGCCTCCCTCTCTGTTAAGCTCATGATACCTCATGCATGTATGTTCTACAGAGATAACCCTGTAGTTTTTACCTGCTGATGTTATCCATTGAAAATAAATTTTGGATTTTTTTCCAACCCCCCCCCCACACACACAAAAGAATGAGCATGTGTATTACATAACACAAAAATCCAGCTTGGAAGCTGGTACTTGGGGTGACCCTATTTTGATCCTACAAATGGTCCCCCAGGCACCGCCAGGAGTGATCCCTGCACACAGAGTAGGAAAAAGCCCTGAGCTCTGCTGGGTGGGACCTAAAACTGCACAGTGAGAATGCAGGGTGGGGCACAGCCCCTCCTTGGCTAAGTCCCTGCTGCAATTCCAGGTGTGGTGGGGAGGGTTCTTAGGCTGACCCAGCTGCTAAGTGACAAGGGACCTCGCCCAACCTGCCCACATTTCCTCATCACTCATGTGATCAGCTCGGTCCTCCTGCTTCCTCTCTGGAGAGTCAAAGGAGATGAAAAATTGCTTTGCAAGACATTTGGGTCACTCCTACAAAAAAAAAAAAAAGACCTGTGGGTCTCTGGGAGGTCAGAGTGGTGGGCCCTGAGAGTGGGGGTGGGGGCCTTGGTGGGAAGGTTCACAGAAGACCACCTTTTCCTGAAACCACCCTCCTGGTTGGCTACCCCTGAGCAGGAGCCTTTGGGGTCAACTACAGCAGAAACTCCTTGATAATTAGGGTCCAGGAAGCAATCAGAAAAGCAAGGCATGGTGTCAGAGAGATAGGTCGGTGAGTGGTGTATTTGCCTTGCATGTAGCCAACCTGGGTTCATTCCCCAGCACCTTACACGGTTCCCTGAGTCCTGCCAGGAGTGATCCCTGAGCACTCCTGGATGTGGATTAAAAATAAAAACAAGGCGGGGCTGGAGCAATAGCACAGCGGGTAGGGCATTTGCTTTGCACACGGCTGACCCAGGTTTGATTCCCAGCATCCCATATGGTCCTCTGAGCACTGCCAGGAGTAATTCCTGAGTGTAGAGCCAGGAATAACCCCTGAGCATTGCCGGGTGTGACCAAAAAAGCAAAAATTAATAAATAAATACAAAAACAAAAACAAGGGGCTGGAGAGATAGTACTGTGGATAGGGAGGTGACTGACCCAGGCTTGATCCCCAACACCCCATATAGTCCCTTGAGCCCACTACAAGTGAGCACAGAGCCAGAAATAAGTCCTGGGCACCACCAAATGTGGCCCCCAAACAATAAATAAATAAATAAATAAATAAAAGCAAGGGGTCAGAACAATAGTACATAGGGTAGAATGCTTGCCTTGTTCAATCTCTGGCAACCTATAAGGTTTACTGTACCCCACCAGGAGTGATTCTTGGGCCACAAAGTCAGGAGTAAGCACTAACATAGCCCAAATGCTGCCCCCCCCCAAGAAAAAAAAACAGCCAAAACAAAATGGAAAAGCAAGTAAGACTGTGTAATCTGGGGTAAGGTTAAGAGAGAGGAGACAGGTTCAGGACAAGGGGACTGATAGAATATTCTGGAACGGACTTCTTTAGCAGGAGCTATGAGAGCTAGACCTGACCTGAAGCCCCTCAGATTCTATGGAATAAGGGACAGGCTTTGGGGGTGGCCTCCTGGAGATCTTCCAGCGCATCCATATCCAGTGTGGGGAGCAGAGAGCTGGTGCCGGGCATTGGGGATCCTCCCGAGGCCTGGAAAATGCCCCCCTGATCATCATCTCTTGTCTCACCAGGCGACCATTGGCCTGATCAGGAACCTGGCCCTGTGCCCAGCCAACCATGCCCCACTGCAAGAGGCTGCGGTCATCCCCCGCCTGGTCCAGCTGCTGGTCAAGGCCCACCAGGATGCCCAGCGCCACGTAGCTGCGGGCACACAGCAGCCCTACACGGTGAGTGACCTGGAGAGTGACTGTGGCTCAAGGTATCGGGCATACTGGATGGCAGCTGAGTCTGACACCAAGGACCAGCTGGAGGGGCTAGTCTTGAGGGGAATGGTGTGTGGCCCTGTTCCCGGGCTCCTGTCATCATCTCCCCCCCCCCCCCCCCCCCCCCCGTTCCTCTTCTGCAGGATGGAGTGAGGATGGAGGAGATCGTGGAGGGCTGCACTGGGGCCTTGCACATCCTTGCCCGGGACCCCATGAACCGCATGGAGATTTTCCGACTCAACACCATCCCCCTGTTTGTGCAGGTGAGTTGGGACGGGTGGGCAGGAGAATGCTCCCCACTTCTCTGCTTGTCCCCGCTGCTAAGAAAGGAAGCGTGTGGGCAGGACCGACAGTGCAGCAGACAGGGCTTTTGCCTTCATAGGGCTGACCCAGATTCAATCCCTAGCACATCCCATATGGTCCCCCGAGCACCGCCAGGAGTGATTCCTAAGTGCAGAGCCAGGAGTAACTCCTGAGTATTGCTGGGTGTGACCCAAAAAGCCAAAATCAAACACCAAAAAGCCAAAACAAACAAGCAAACAAATGAAAAACCTAAAATAGGAAGCTTGGCAGGAGGTTTGGAGAGGTCTGGGTCGGGCACCAGATCTCTGGATTTTCAGAGCTAGGAGTGACCGCTGCGCTATACCTCTAGGGGGTGACATTTCAAACTCCAAGGCCAGCCAGGAGATCACAAACCAAAAGAGCTTGCAGAGCCTGCAGGAGGCTGGTCTGGGTTCCAACCAGATAGGGGCCCTGGGGCCCTACCCGGAATCAGCCCTCAGCACAGCTCGGTGTGGCCCCAGAGCAAGGACAAGGACAACAAAACGGGCTTGGGTTGGAGCTAGTGCACTTGCCTTGGCTACGGCCCTGGATTCGATCTCTGGCACCAAAGCAAAGATACAGGGACTGAGAGATGCGTTTCCACCAGCTTCAGTTCCTGTCACCACAGGGCTCCTGAACATCAGGGGGTGCTGTCCTCAAGGCCCCCAGCACTGAAAGGGTGTCAGGGTAGCCCCCATCAGCCTCGCTCCTCAGGCCCTTGCCTTGAACCTTGGATTTTCTGTTCCCTTCCTTGACCCTTTCTTGGATGCTCCTGCGTTCTGGTGGGCGCCAGGCATGAGGGTGGAGGGCCCGGCGGCAGGGGTGCAGCCGTGCCCACGCTCACCCTGCCGCCCGTGTGCCCCCAGCTCCTGTACTCGTCGGTGGAGAACATCCAGCGCGTGGCGGCCGGGGTGCTGTGTGAGCTGGCACAGGACAAGGAGGCGGCTGATGCCATCGATGCCGAGGGCGCATCGGCCCCGCTCATGGAGCTGCTGCACTCGCACAACGAGGGCACGGGTGAGGGGCTGCGGAGGGCACATGGGGCACACAAGCGGGGGGAACCACGGGGGGCTCGGGGCCGCGGGGGCGCACGCGGGGGACACGCGGGGCACTGGGACTGGCGGCACGCGGGGCACGGCGGTCTCAGGGGCCGCAGCGCGCGGGGGACGCGCGGGGCACGTGGGCTTGGGGGCCGTGGGGGGCATGTGGAGCTCGGGGGCTGCAGGACGCATGCAGGGGTTCTTGGGGACCGTGGGGCGCGGGGGGCACTCGGGGTGCATGCACGGGGCGCGCGGGGCACTGGGGCTGGAGGCACGCGGGGCACGAGTGTCTCCGGGGCCTTGGGGCGCGGCGGAGACTTGGGGCGCATGTGGGGGGCACGCGGGGCACTGGGACTGGGGGCGCACGGGGGGCGCGCAGAGCCTGCTGGCAGTCCCTCAGCCCAGCCTTCAAACCCCCACACCTGACCGCTCTGGCTTCTCTCCGCAGCCACCTATGCTGCCGCTGTGCTGTTCCGCGTCTCCGAGGACAAAAACCCGGATTACCGAAAGCGTGTGTCCGTGGAGCTCACCAACTCACTCTTCAAGCACGACCCGGCTGCCTGGGAGGCTGTGAGTGTCCAGGCCCGGGCAGGCTCTTCTGAAGGGACAGGGGGTGTCCCGGCAACTTGCTAGCTCCCTAGATTTCCATTTCATTTGATTAGGGGCAGGCGGCTCCCATGCACCCTTGGCCACCCCCCCTCCCCATTCTTTTTTTCCCCTTTCTTTCTTTTTTGGCTTTTTGGGTCACACCTGGTGGTTCTCAGGGATTACTCCTGGCTTGGCACTTAGGTGGTGCTCCAGGGAGCATATGGGATGCTGGGGATCAAACGCTGGTCAGCAGCGTGCAAGGCAAAAGCCCTCCCTGCTGTACTATCACTCCAGCCCTGGCCACCACCATTCTTTTCTTTTTTAAAAATTTATTACATTAAATATTCCAATCAAATATTCTATTGCATGGCGGTAATCCTAGCACCATTATTTGGAATTTTTCCACCACCACCCAAGCCTGCCCCAAAGGAAGATCCTAAGTAATTTATTTTGTATTGCTTGTTATGAGTAATCTGCTAAAAATGATCCAGAGGGGTTTCCTTAAAGGAAAGTATGTGAAAATTGTTGTATCTCACCTTGGAGCCATTAAGCCCTTGTATAAGAGATCACTAACATGTTGTTACAGGTTGAGCCTTGTATGCTACTATATATAAATATAATCTATATTTCCAGTTGCCTTCTACTTTACATACAGTCCATCAGATTTGATGTGCTACTCTTGGTACATCAGTGGCATAAAGTATGAGATATTGGAACTCTAGGAATTCTACAATTTTATATAGGGTGATAGAGGCTGGAGTTTTTTTTTTTTTTTGCTTTTTGGGTCACACCCGGCAATGCACAGGGGTTACTCCTGGCTCATGCACTTAGGAATTACCCCTGGCGGTGCTCAGGGGACCATATGGGATGCTGGGAATCGAACCCGGGTTGGCTGCATGCAAGGCAAACGCCCTACCCGCTGTGCTATTGCTCCAACCCCTGGAGTTAAATTTTTAACTAGATGGTGACTTTGGGGTCCAGAGGCATCTCCGAAGCTTGTTGCTCCCTTCTGAGATTTATTTATGAGTCTCTGGATCATGGCCGCTAATAAGCTTATGCGGCACCAGAAGCAGTTCGTGGGCACAACTGCCAGGTTCCCGGAAGAATAGGGAGATGGGGGGAGGTCACCCATCACCAACTCCATGAGAGCCTGGAGATTTCAGTCACAAAAACTGCATATCTGGGTTTTTCAGCAGATTCATTCTCATGTGTGAGGGGCTTGTCCTGAGCCTGTAGAGAATGGCCATGAACATGGTGGCAATTCGGCCACCACCATTCTTAAGTCCTTGACCCCTCCCACTCCCTGCCCCCGCCCCAGGCTGTTCCAGTCCTGTGGATGCCTCCAGCATGAAAGGAGGTGCCCCTCCCCCCATGAACCCCATTCCTCCACCCTCTGTTTCTGCAGTGGGGCTCCTCTCCCTGGCTGCCCTCTGACGTTTGTCCCCCTTTTCCCCCCAGGCTCAGAGCATGATCCCCATCAACGAGCCCTATGCAGATGGTGAGTGGACACGGAATCTGGGCCCCCGAGAGCGGTGGGGAGGGCTACTCAGTTCCCAGGAGACCCTTCACCTCTGGGCTAGCGACATACGGGTGCAGCCTCCAGGGCTCCCATCACAGGGCTGGGAGAGAGGGTGGCCAGCGGGCAGAGGCCAGAGCTGTTATCTCCTCACAGATATGGACGCCACCTACCGCCCCATGTACTCGAGCGACGTGCCCCTGGACCCGCTGGAGATGCACATGGACATGGACGGCGACTACCCCATCGACACCTACAGTGACGGCCTCAGGCCCCCCTACGCCGGTGGAGACCACATGCTGACCTAGTTGCTGCCCAGGGCGCTCAGCAGGCCGCTTTCCCTCCCCCCACGACCTCTTTCTTGGGGTGCCCTCTTATCCCTCCCCCCAAAATCCTGTTGTGGGCGAGCCAGAGCGGGGCCTGTGGTGGTTGAGCTTCCTCCCGGCATCCCAGCTCCCAGGGGGACCTGGGGAATGGGTCTGGCACCTTGGGGAACAGGCCCGTCTGTCCCGCCTCCTTGGAGAGGGTCTCCCAGAGACAGAAGTGCCTGAATTGGGGAGCAGAGACGCCCCTGCCTAGCCTGCACCTCCAGGGGGGTCCCACTAGGGCCTTGCTTGTGACAGCGGCCTGTCTGCTCCTGCTTCTTTGGTCGTGGGCCCCCGCACCCCACACTCCTCCCACCCCCTGTCCAGGCCACCAAAGCTTTAGACTTGAGGGCTCATTCATTATGTCCTCCACAGACACCCCCCTGGCACCCCCTTGCACTGCCTGGGTCCCTCAAGGCCTTGGTTCTTGCTCTCCATCTGATTTTTCTCACTAACCTCCCCTACCTGATCACTTATCCTGAACCTCCAAAATCCAAAGCTTCTCTTGTAAAGTTTAGGGACCATCGGGAGTGGGGAGGTAGACAGACAGACAGACAGCTGATCCCCGCCACCAGGACATTGTCGGCATCTCAGTGGGATACAGGGTTGAACTGGGTCCCCTCTCGGGGAGCCCTGGGGACAGCTTGTCATACCCCCCACCTCACATCCCCCCATCCCCACTCCCGCACAGCTGTTCCCTGAGAAGTGCTCTTGGCTGACCCCTCTGGTGTGCGGTGAGGGCTTTGTCTTCCCTCTCCTGTTTCTAACTCCCCTTAACCTCCTGCACATGGGGGGGGGGGGCTGGGAGTCAGGGGGAAGGGGGAGGGACCCCGCAGAGTTTTATTAATATGCTTTATGTTTTTGGTTATTGGTTTTCTTTTTTTTTTTTTTTGTATAGACCAAAGCTAAATAAAGAAATAAATAAAAAATACTTGCAGATTCAGTGGAGACATTTTGGAGAATGGAGTGGGAGACGGAGTGTGTGTGTGTGGGGGGGGTGTCTTAGCAGCTTGATGGGCTTGTTTGGGGAAGAGGAGAGGAAGGTGAGGAGCAATTGACAGACCGGAGACAATACAGATTTTTGGGCTTCAGCTTAGAGCTGGAAGAAGTCTGCGGGGAGAAGAGAGGCCTGGAGACAAACTCTTCCTCCAGGCCCCAATGCTCAGTGACACCTGCCCTGTGGGTCCCTGGCTGACAGCCTATTTGCCCTCTCGGTCCTTCCAGAAAAGAAAGTGTCCAGCACAGGTTTCTCCTGGCCACATGGTGCCCTAAACCCAAGTCCTGATTGGACAGAAGTGAGCCCTGCCCCCCACCCTGTTCTCAAGGAAAAGGTGATTATACCCTTACCCCACTGTGGACCTCAGTTCCACCCCAGTGGTGACAGTCCTCGAAGCAGCAGGGGCCATGCAGAACCAGGGTCCTTCAGGAGGGGGCAAAGAACCAGAATGAGGGGTGGATGCCGACAAGTAGAATCAAGTCTTAAGTGCGTAGAAATAGAGCACCTGTCTAGTAAGCATATGGTCATGAGTTCAAATCCCCGGTGCCCCACATGAGCTGAGTATGATCCAGACAGCTCCGCTGTTGGAGCTAGCACTGCTGTTGTCTGCCACCTCAGGTGCTGGAAGTAATTTCCAGCTGCATCATGGTCAGTGTGTGTGGGCAACACAGAAAGGGGTAGTCCCCTTGACTAGTGAGCAGCAGAATTAACAAGTTATGTCATGAGCGGAAAGGGGAAGCCCTGATGATCAGGTACACATGCACCACAGTGAAAGGATGTAGACCTCAGGGAGCCTGGAGGCAAGTGTGTGACCCTCAGCAAACACCACGGCTAAGGATATGTGAGATAAGGTGGAGTTCATGCCCAATTCAATCAGCTAATCAGTGTCTGAATCAATAGCAGTAATCCTACATAAAAAAAAAAAAAGAATGTGTGAGAGCCAGAGAGATGGCACAATGGTTAAGACACTGGCCAGCCTGCAGCTGGGGCTCTGGTTTGAATCCCAGCACTGCGTAATGATACCCCTAGGCTCTGCCAGGAGCTCAGGAGTGCCCCTGAGCTCAGAGCCAGGTATAGTCCCTGAGCACAGCTGGGCGTGGCCCTGAAACAAATCAAATTTAAAGACATAGCTCCATGATTGTGTCCCCTAATATAAACTGGCTTCAAGGATGTGATCATTCCCCACCCCACCAAAATGTAAATCAAAATGTAAAATAGGGTTGGGGAGAGAGAGAGAGAGAGAGAGAGAGAGAGAGAGAGAGAGAGAGAGAGAGAGAGAGAGAGAGAGAGAGAGAGAGAGAGAATAGGGGTCAAGGTGCTTACCTATAAAGTCTTGGTCACTGTTCCAACCCAGGACCCCATATGGTCCCCAGGGCACAGAGCCAGGGGTAATGCCTACTTGCTTAATCTCAACAAATCCCCACAGCCCTGATGGAGTTCGGAGAGATAATACAGCTTGCCTTGCATATGACCAACCTGGGTTAGATCCTCAGTTTCCCATATGGTCCCCCATGTACCGCCAGGAAGAATTCCTGAGTGCAGAGCCAGGAGTAAGCCAGGAGCATCACTGGCCCCAAAACAAAAGATAAAAATGAAAGAAATAAATGCTCCTTTCAGAGGTCAGAGAGGTAGTCTAGGGATGAAGGCGCTTGCCTTGGATGCAGGCAACGCTGGTTCAATCCCCAGCACCACAGGGCACCCCAAACACTGCCAGGGGTCACTCCTGAGCACTGCACGGTGTGTGCCTACCACCTGCCACGCTTCTGGTTCCAGTTGTGCCCTCAGATTCTCTCGAATGGGACCTCTGCTGGGTCTTGCCCATATCCGCAGCCTGTGTTTGCTCAAGAGAGAATCTAGTCCTTTCGTTGTGCTCCAAGCAAGTCAGGGATTTCCTGTGGGGCTGAGATATCAACACAGCTTCACACTCAGCGTCCCAGCCTTGGAGGGACTAAGTACCTCAAGATCCCTTACTCACAGCTGTCCTGTTGTCCCACAATTCCTGACTACTCTGTGGAGCAGAGGTCCACTTTGTATAACATACTTTTTTGCTGTTTTTTTTTTTTTGTTTTGGGGCCACACCCACCGGTGCTCAGGGCTCTGCATCTACTCCCGTTGGTGCCCAGGATTTACTCCCGTTGGTGCCCAGAGAATCATATGGGATGCTGGGGTATCGAACCCAGGCTGGTCGCATGCAAGGCAAGCGCCTTACCCACTGTACTATCTCTCTAGTCCCAATACTTTGTATTATTTACCTTCACCAGGGCTGTGGGGATTCCTTGGGATTAGGCAAGTAGGCATTACTCCTATATGCTCAGGGGACACAATCATAGAGGCATGTGTTTGTTTGTTTTCTCTCCTTTTCGTTTTATTTGAGGAGGCACACACCTAGCTGACAGAGCTTCCTTGGCTCTGTGCTCGGAGGTTATTTCTGGCAGTGTTTGAGGGACCATATGTAGTGTTGGGAATTTAATTAGGGGATGCTGCTTGCCAGGCAAGTGTCTTTACCTCTGCCCTATCTCTCTGGCCCAGAAAGGAAGATTTCTGCCCCAAGAAGAAATGGTGAGTTTTTGAATTATTTTTTAAAATTTAATTGAATTTTTATAAAGTTGTTCACAATAATTGATTACATTTAATATTCAAACACTAACTCCACCAACCATTACACCTTTCCACCACCATATTTGGAATGTTTCCATCCCGAACCCCAAACCTTGCCCCCAAAGCAGAACCAAAGGAATTTTTTTCCTTTTTTAACTGTCTGTCACACTGTCCTCCCGTTGTTCATCGAGTTGCTCGAGTGGGCCCAGTAACATCTCTTTTGTGAGATTTGTTGTTACTGTGTTTGGCATATTGAATACGTCACGGGTAGCTTGCCAGGCTTTTCTGTGCGGGCGGGAATACTCTTGATAGCTTGCCAGGCTCTCCGAGAGGGGAGAAGGAATCGAACCCAGTTTGAAAGGCTGGCTGCACCCAAGGCAAATGCCCTACCGCTGTGCTGTCGCTCCAGCCCGCCTTTTGGCTAAGATCAAGTGTAGTATCCTTTTTTAGACAAAATATTATTGATTTATTTTTTTAGTGAATCACCATGAGCTACAGTTACATATTTTTTATGTTTGAGTTTCAGTCATCCAATGATCGAACATGCATCCATCCACCAGTGTCCATTTTCCACCACCAATGTCCCCAGTATCCCTCCCCCATCCCATCCTTCCGCCTGCCTCTATGGCAGACAATTCCCTCTTTATCTCTATTTATAGGTATTATGGTCTGCAATACAGAACTGAAGTAATTTATGGTGTTTTTTTTTTTTTTTTTATGCTCAGGAGTTACTCCTGGCTCTGCACTCAGGAATCACCCCTAGCAGTGCTCAGGGGACCATATGGGACGCCAGGGATCAAACTTGGGTAGACCGCGTGCAAGGCAAACGCTGTACTGTCTTTCCTGCACCTTACACTGAGGTCTTAACCGAGACTTTTAGAGTAAGAGTAGTCTAATAGAGAGACTTCCATTTCTGAGCTCGCCAAAGCTGGAGATGTTCAGGCAAAGAGCGCCCCCTAGTGGGAAGGTCTCAGCAGCACTCCTTCCACAGCCCACACAGGTGCGGTCATAGGGCAGCTGCAGATGCCTTAATTCCGTCAGCGGTCAGCGCTGACCCCTCCAACCTGCGTGGTTCAAAGGTCCTGGCCCCCACAAATAGGCTTCAAGTGGGAGGGCCTCTGTCTGTCCCCATGAATAGTAGTCACCACTGCTGATTGGGACACTTACGGCATATGGGGTCGCCTGAATTCTCAAGCCCAACCTAGGTGGTAGGATTTCTGCCCTCCAGGCAGATCTGTGTATGTGTGTGTATGTGCGCTTGTGTGTATGCATGTGTGCATGTGTATGCATGTGTGTATGTGTATTCATGTGTGTATGTGTATACATGTGTGTATGTGTATGCATATGTGCATATGTGTATGCATGTGTGTATGCGTGTATGTGTATGCGTGTGTGTGTGGCTCAAAGTCCTAAGCACCATGGAGTGACCCCTGAACACGGAGCTGAATGGAACAAGGAGCTGAGAGTGACCCCCAGAGCCCCACCCAGCTGTAGCTGCAAAACCCAAAGCCCAGAAGCTGGTGAGCAGCAGGTGAGAATCGGAGTCAGGCTGGCTGGCAGCAGCTCTTCCACTAAACCCACCTAACTTTGGGGTTGAAGACATAGCTCAGGGGATTTGGCCCTTGGCTGGTGTGCAGCCAGCGCTAGTTAGACCTCCTGTACCAGATGGCTCCCTCAGCACTGTCAGGAGTGACCCTCCGCGTGCCAGGAGTAACCCCGGAGTTCCTCTGGGTGTGACCTGACAACCCCCTCCCCTAGCTAAACCCAAGACTTACCAAGAGGAGCTTGGGCTGGAGGGCGGACAATGTGTTTGCTTGACCATTTCTGGAGCTGCCGGGGTGCAGGTATGCGTGTTGGGGGCATGGAATCCTGCATCTGGGGCCAGTGTGGTCCCTGGCCTGCCTCTCCCTTCTCCTCCTGGGGCCTGAAGTGAGGTGCAAGGTGGAGAATCCCCAGAGGGAGGGAGGAAGGGCCTCAGACACTCCTGGCCTGGTGGGGGAGCCAAGAGGACATCCTCTGGCCCGTGGCCTTCCTGAGCTGTGTCCAGCTCCAGGAGGAAACCCAGGACCGCAGCCTGTGTGATTTCCATCCTCCAGGCCCTGAAGCCCACGTGTGCGTCTGGGCTCTGAGTCCTTCTGGGTGCAGTTTGTGGCTTTCAGGGGACCATGGGGGGCATGGAGAGAGAGGGAAGCACATTATTCACTGAACCCCACTTAGGATCATGCTTTGTAGTTGCTATTTTATCTCTGGGAGGGGAAAAACATCTCTATTACATTGATGAGACAAGCTTAGAGGGATCAGGAGATTTACCCAAGGACACACAGCCAAGAGGTATCAGTGCAAAGGACTGTCTGGGGCCTATTCCTAACACTTATGCCTCCTAGTTAGGGAGACGGCTTGGCAGTCGGGATCCCCTCCCTGGGTCTGGCCTGCCTTCAGACTTGGTGCTGCTATGCATGAGGCTTATGGAGAGATGGGTTTAGGGGCTCCAGGAGGAGAATTGGGGGATAGTGACACTGAGAGGACCCCCCCTCCCAGGTCCATGACTCTTGCTCTGAACAGAATCTCCTCCCCCAACAGATGTTTTTGGGGGTTTCCAGGTGGGACCCACCTGTGCTGGGGAACCCTGGGCCCTCTTTCTAGCTGGGCAGACAGGCCCTCTCTGGAACCTGAGGATCATCCCCCAACACCCCACACTCCCTTGTGTGTTCTGGGCAGCTCTTCTCGAGGTCTTGGGATGCAAACAGGATCGAGAAGAACTGATCTGACTCTTGTGTCTCAGGAACCATTGCAAGCGGCTTTCACTGCCCTGAGAGCAGAAAGTAGGAATCAGGGGAACTGGGAGGGCTCCCCAGAGGAGGAGGGCATGGAGCTGAGCAGCAGAGGTCTATTGTGTGGGGTCCACTGGTGAAGACAGGTGCTGTGGTGGGGGAGGGGGGAGGAGGAGGGAGGGTGGGGGTGGGGGGGAGTGGAGGAAATGGCTTCTCTAGGATCCTGGCAATTCCTGAGACAGCTCCCAGGTCAGCCAGGTACTTTCCCTCTGCATCTCTATCCTGCTCCCTTCACTGTCCTAGCCTGCGGGGGTCAGAGGGTGCATCCTGGGAGGCCCCCCAGTGACACTTGGGGTCAGAGCAGAAGGAGGGGGGAAAGTGGAGTAAAGTGGAGAATTGGTCAGAGGAACAGTTCGCGAGGAGGGCGTTTGCCTTGCATGAGGCGATTATATCCCCAGCATCCCATATGGTCCCTGAAGCATCGCCAGGAGTAATTCCTGACTGAAGAGCCCCCAAACCAAAAACAAACGAACAAAGAAAACAATAAAATAGACTGGAGAGCAAATCTGAGATGGGTCTTCCAGTTCTCCTAGGGTCCTCCGAATCAGGTCCCCACAGACACGCAATCTCGTCACATCTTGATCTGTCCACCTGTAAAGCAGACCCACCAACGGGCTCTAATAGGTCGCGCAGTTCTGGAAGCAGGAGTGTGGACTTGCACTGCCCTCTGGTGGCCAAAGTCAGACTTGCTGGCGCTCAAGCCCGAGCGCGGTTCGGGAACCTGCGCTGACTGCCTTGTCCGTCCCACTTTCTCCTTTTCTGTTTGGTAGTGCTGAGGCTCCCGTGCAGGGAGCATCTGAACCACATCCCTGAGCCCCACATCTTTCTTCATTCCAAACTTCCCCGGGGGTTTCAAGCCGCTTACTTCTGACTTCTTTCTCTCTTTCTCCCTGACTCTCCTCCTTGTATTTCCGTCGGGGGCCTTCCCAAACGGTGAGCAGGTGGCCTGGGGGACCCACCAGTGGCTCAGTGCAAGCCCCTCCCCCGCCCCTGCAGTGCTGGGCTCCTCCAGGGCTGCACCAGCAGTGTTGGGGGATGCCAGAATTGGAACTGGAACTGGAGTAGATGCGTGCTCAGTCCACGCTCTACCCGCTGTCCTGTCTCCCAGCCTGCTGGGGGGCATACCAGCCTGGCTGGAGAATGAGCCCAGGTCAGTGGTGTGGGCACCTTTTAGATTTTTTATATTATTGTTTATTTATTTATTTGTTTATTTATTTTTTGCCTCACCTGGCAGTTCTCAGGACTTATTCCTGGCTCTGGACTCAGGAGTTAACTCTTGGTGCTGCTTGGGGAACCATAAGGGATTGTGGGGATTGAACCCAGGATTCCTGCATATGAAGCACGTGACCCAGCCTCTGAGCTGCCTCCCTGGCCTGGGGCAAGGGCAGCTTGTCCCTCTGCTGACTAGCTGTGGACTAGTGTAAATGTTTGGTGATGAAAGGGTGAGATGTGACCCCTGCTGGTCTGTCCTTGCAAAAGGGCAGGATGTGAGGGTGTCTGGGTGATGTAAGTGGTCATCGTGATGTAGGCAGGGAGGATAGGGAAGGGTTCCCCACATCATGGCAATGACATTTCTGGAAAATAATAAAACCACCAGCCCTAAGGCTGACCCACCTTGTGGATACAGAAAGCAAGACCTGAGAAGACTTTCTCTGGAAGCAGACCTTGAAACTGGACCTCTCCCTACAGAAAGGGCCTGAAAGGAACTGCTCTAGAACCCCCAATTCCTTCCTTTAATCTGATTAACCCTCAGCTAGCCCAGACCAGAGGAGGCTGGATCCCCCTCTCCCCCTGGAGAGAAGATCCAGCAGGAGCAAAGCTCAAGAAAAGGAGTTTCAAAGACCACTCCCAACTCTATTGCCTTGGAAACAACCATAGCAACAGACTCCTACCGAGTCTGAAAGCACCACATGGGGTAGGAAACCCTATAAAAGCCACCTGAACAAAGGAAGGGCGCACATATGCTGGCTGAGCCCAAGTACTGCTTGTGCCCACATGGTCGAGCACATGTGTCACCTGCATCTCGCTCTTGAGATGTGGACTTTCATGTTCCATTTCTAATGCTGGGGTGTGTGCGGGGGTTCTCTCCATCCTTGGAGAAGCCTGTGCTCTCTCTTGAGTGCATTATATACACAAACTCTCTCTCTCTCTCTCTCTCTCTCTCTCTTGCCCTCATTCCCTCCTTCCTCACCTTCAAAAACCTCCCAATAAAATCTGTTTACTTCACTGTCCATCTAACTCCTGAAATTCCTTTCTGCAAGGCAAGACAAGAATCTGGTAATCCTGGGTAAGGCCTAGGACCGACTTTCCTTTCCTGCAAAGAGCAAATCCTCATCCCAACCTGAGTCCGTGGCTCCCTGAGAAATTGGGTGCCAGGGATCAACTCCCCTGCAGAGAAGACCAAGTGGACCTCAGGCATGGCTTGAGGGCCACCTGGTGGGGCTGATGTGGGGGGGGGGGGAGGGAGTAGAGGGTGGGCTCTGGCCTGTGATTAGCCGGGGCTCATCACAGACTTTATCAGTCCTAGTCTTCCCAGAGTGACCCGGGGGGCAGAGGCGGATGGGGAGAAAGTGTCTGTCTCTCTCCTCCCTGCCTCACATAAGCCATCTGTGGGGTCCCACTGACTTCAATAACTCTGGGCATGCTGCTTGGGTTTTGGTGGGAGTTTCTCCCACCTGGAGAGGGCCAGTGGCAGCTGGGCGTAGGATGGAAAGTCCGCGGGCTGTTGGGGAGTGGAGGGGGCCTTTGTGAACACTGGCTCCTGGGCCGGGGGATGGCTCACAGGGGCACAGAAAAACTTTCCGGGTCCCTGTTCATGCGGGAGCTATACTGTCTAGTGGAGAAGGAACTCCCACAGGGTTTGAGGCTCTTTGCCTGTTGGGGGGCGTGGCGGGAGAGGGGTCTCATCTGAGCAGGGGGATACAGCAGCCCCAGAGCTCATTTCAGGGGATGAGGCCTGGCAGAGCCCCTAGGGACCTGGGCATGGAGCATGTCCCTCAGCAATGGGGTTGCTGCAGGGTGTCCACCCCACAGATCCGGGCAGGAGGGTCCCAGAAAGGCCGGGGCTCCTGGGGGTGAGTTGGTAAAAGTGAGATTAGGAGAGGGCAGGAGAGGTCCTGAAGGGCTGGAACAATAGCACAGCGGGTAGGACATTTGCCTTGTACACTTTCAACCCGGGTTCGATTCCCAGCATCCCATATGGTCCCCTGAGCACTGCCAGGGGTGATTCCTGAGTGCAGAGCCAGGAGTAACCTCTGTGCATCACTGAATGTGACCCCCCCCCAAAAAAAAGGAGAGGCCCCGAGAGCACCACTTCCATCCTGGGACCCCCCACTCCCCCCACCCCTGGCCAGCTTGGACCTTGTCTGTCATTTGCAGAGGCATTTTTCATTTTTTCAGGTCCCTCTTGAGGGCACCATGGCCCCAATGCTCTTTTCTTTGGGGTTCGCCTGAATCTCCACCAACTTTTCTCCTGGGGACAGGGGTTTGTTGGGGGAGGGGTCAGCTTCTTCCCATACCCCCAGACCCCAAAGCTTCCCAAAACCGCCACAAAGGAAGCAGTTAAAACAGATGGTGAGGAGGGGGGTGAATAAGATGGTGGTTTCTGGGCTTTTGGAGACCCTGCAGACCCCCAACCCTGCCTACACCCCCTGTGCCTGCATCCCACAGGCTCCGATGTTGGCTGTCTCACCATGATGTGTGACTGTCCCCTCCCCCAAGGCCCCTAGGGTGGTGCATGGGGATCTAGAACCTTTTAGAACCTTCTAGAATCCTCTGTACTGGCTGTGTGCCTTTCATGCCCAATCCACATCTACGCCCCATCACCCAGGCTGCTTGCTTTCTTGCAGGCTCCCCCCAAGGACATGGGGGTGTGTGTGCCCCTCTTCTCCTCCCTGCCCGCCCCCCAAGACACCGGGCCCAGCGAGATGCACAGAAGTGAGTTTATTGAGCATTGGGCTTTTCCGGGGGTCTGCGCGGAGGGAAGGTGCCAGCGATGTTGGCCTCTACGGATGCGTGTCGGTGTCCTCGGCACTGCGCCGGCCGAAATCCATCCATCCGTAGGCCTCCTCTTCCTCCTCCCATGGTGCCTGCTTCTTGGACAGGTCTGAGGGGGCAGAGGGCAGGGGTGAGGCAGAAGGAGCAGTAGTCCCAACGGGGGGGGGAGTGAGGGGGAAGGGCAGCCCACAGTGCTTACCTGCCACCTGGAGTGGGGGGCCTGGCAGGTGGGGAGAGGCTGGGCCCAGGGCCTCCCGCCACTGTGCCTCCATGTCCCTGTTGGCCCCTGGCCCCGAGGGTGCGGCCGGAGGCTGGGCACGGGGCCTCCAAGCAGCTTCGGAGAAGGAGGCCAGCATCAGCGCCAGGATGAGGGCGTGCACACAGAGTGGCTGCATCTCGGCTGCCGAGAGACAGAGGGAGGGCTTGGCTGGAGGACCTGCTCGGACATGGCCCAGCTTCCGGTGTCCAGCGCTCACAAGTGGAGGCTCAGGGTTGGCTCTCTGGTGTGACCTGGCCCGCTGCACACCGTGAGGCATAGCCTCGGGGGTCCCCCAAGCATGCCAACCTTCCCCGCAAAACCAGGAGTACTGAAAAAGGAACTTGAAGCCTTGGGGATCTAGACCAATGCTGCTTGTTTTTTTTTTGGGGGGGGGGGGTCACACCTGGTGGTACACAGGGGTTACTCCCGGCTCTGCACTCAGGAATTACTCCTGGCGGTGCTCAGGGGACCATATGGGATGCTGGGAATTGAACCTGGGTCGGCCGTGTGCAAGGCAAATGTCTTACCCGCTGTGCTATCGCTCCAGCCCCCCAATACTACATTTAAATGAATTCAAGTGAGAAGCTGGAGAGATGGTGCAGTGGGTAGAGCGCCTGTGCTGTATGTGCCAACCTGGATTTGATCTCTAGCACATATAAAGTTCCCCCAGCCTGGCCAGGAATGATTCCTGAGCACAGAGCTAGGAGTAAACCCTGAGCCTCGCCACCTATGGCCTCAAAACAAAGCACTGTAGCACTGTCCTCCCGCTGTTCATCGATTTACTCGAGCGGGCCCAGTAACTCTCCACTGTGAGACTTGTTACTGTGTTTGGCATATGGAATACGTCATGGGTAGCATGCCAGGCTTTGCCGTGCGGGCGAGATACTCTCGGTAGTTTGCCGGGCTCTCCGAGAGGGGCAGAGGAATCGAACCTGGGGTTGGCTGGGTTGGCCACGTGCAAGGCAAACACCCTACCCACTGTGCTATTGCTCCAGCCCAAAAACAAAGCAACAGAAATTAATTCAACTGAGTGGCCAGAAAGATGGCTCAATGGGCTGACTCAGGTGTTTTGCAAGTAGGAGTTTAGGGTTTGATCCCTGACATTGCGTGGTCCTTTGAGCACAGTTGGGAGTGACCCTGGATCACCTCCAGTGTGGATCCCCAAGTAAAGGCATACACAAAATCAAAATGAGAAATCATCCCCTCTCCATGCACGATGTCCAGTAGACACCTGGTGGATAGAACAGATATAGAAAGCTCTTCGTGATAGTACTGTCTAGGACAGGAATGCAAATGGATCCCCAAGAGCCCTGGCTCCCTGTGCCAGCTCCCTTGGACCTCAGTTTTCTCACCAAAGAAATGGGAGAATAACCAGTGTCCTCTACGTCCAGGGCTGAGAAAGGGCAGGGCAGGGCCGCTGGAGGGCCAGGCTGAGCTAGGCAGGGCTCAGGGCAGAGTCCCTACCCTGGGGGACACAGGGCTGGAGGCCTGGGAGCTTGATGATGGGAGGGACCCCCTCACCATGCCCGGATGCTCTCACCTGCAGAGCTGGGGTGCTGCTGTCTGTCTTCCGGAGAGCCTCTCTCTGCTCTGCTCTGCTCCTCACTCCAGCCCAGCCTTAAGAAGCCCTCCAGGCCCCTCCCAGCCCGAACGTACCCCCTGCCCTGCCCACTGGGCCCCATCAGTCCTCCTGGAGGTGGGGGAAGACAAGGGAACAGGATGCTGCCTCCAAGATGAGGGGCTGGGGGGGTGGGCTCAGGGACTAAGGGCAGGTGGGAGACTAATTCTGGGGGATATGGACATGCCCCCTTGTGTCTCCAGGGTCTGAGGCCTGGAGCCCCTCACTAGCACTATGTCTAGTGGGCGGAGGGGAGGGGGCAGGCAGTTGAGCAGGAGGGACCCGGGGCCCCTGGACTCAGGCCACCAGGGCCGATTTGCCACACCTGGTGTTTGAGGAGGGATCGATGCAGTCTGCAAACAGGAAGTGGCTGCTATCAGGAGCAATGGGCCGTGGCTGCCGGACCTCTGCCGGGTGCCCCATCCTGGGGGCCACTGAGCCCTCTTCACCCCTGGGGTTGTACCTGCTCATTTTAATGCAGGCTGCAGCAACTCCTTGTTCCCCCTAAAGGTTTCTAGATGGGATTTTCTCCTCGGTAATAATGAAGGAGAGGGGGACAGAAAAGGCTGCCCCAGATAGAAAAGGCTGCCCTAGATGTGAGTGGAAAGGCCTGGGGGCGCATCTGGATGAAGAGTTTAGAAGTGGGGTTGGGATCACCATCATATCTCAGTGGGAATGGGGAAATTTTCACGAGCAGAACTGATCACTGGCATCCTGAGTTGACTTGAGTTGGCAGGCTACACACATGATCATGGTTATTTATTTTTGGTTTTGGGGAGACATACCCAGCAGTGCTCAGGGATGACTCCTGGCTCCATGTTCAGGGATGACTGCTGGTGGAGCTCAGGGAACCAGATAGAGTTGGGGATTGAACCCAGGTTGGCTGCGTGTAAGACCTTACCCACTGTACTATCACTCTGGCCCCTCATGTGGTTACTGAAAGGACTCTTGGCTGACAAACTTAATGAACCAACGAGTTCAATAAATGTACACGTAACTTGTATGCATTGTTGCCGCCTCCTCTTCCTCCTCCTCCTCTTCCTCCTCCTCCTCCTCCTCCTCCTTCTTCTTCTTCTCCTCCTCTTCCTCCTCCTCTCCTCCTCCTGCTCCTCCTCCTCTTCCTCCTCCTCCTCCTCCTCCACCTCCTCCTCTTTTTCGGTCATACCTGGCAATTATCAGCTCTGCACTCATGAATTATTTCTGGTGGTGCTCGGGGGACCATATGGGGTGCTGGGGGTCAAACCTGGGTTGACCCCGTGCAAGGCAAATATCCTCGCGCTATACTATTGTTCTGGCCCCTGCATTGCTTCTAGAAGTATAAAATACCCTGAATTTGGATGAATTGTGAGCCGAGGCTACTAATCCTGTTTGAGTTTGTGGATGGACAGAGGGACCAGATTGTTTTCTTCAGACACGCCTTTTTTCTGAGTGCTCCATACACAGTGCTCCACGAACTTACATAAATATTAAATTTTACTAGCAGCCTATGAAGGAGGGATACTATTCATTTTCTTATTTTATTGAGGAGGCAACGAAGACTCAGGAAACTTCATAACTGTCCCAAAGTCACATTACTGGTTACATGCTGGTGTAGCCTAAGCCGCTCACTTCAGAGTGGGCTCCCTTACAAACAGCCTCTGGAGCTGCTATCAAAACCCTCCAACTATGGTAGAGACCCTGAAACACAGCCTGAGCCCTCTGTCACGAAAGTGCTCAATCCAGAAAGCCTGTCTAGATCATTCTACCTCATGATCTCCTGCAAAATCACCTAATGATCTTTCATGGGTTGGACCTGAAGTCAAATTAAGAGTCTGGGGACAGCATTTCCCTTCCGGCCACCGTGATCGTTTTCGAGCATGTGAAGAGCACTATCTCTGAGCCCCAGCTCCCTGCTTCAGAGGCTGATGATGACATGTTCCTTGACTCCAAAGAGATCACAGCTGAGCTGGAGACAGAGACTGAAAGGTAGTCATCATCCAGGTGGCAAGTGTTAGAGCGTGGGGTTATGCCGGAGTCCCTGGGAGTTGGGAAAAGGGACATGGAACCCAGCGGGGGGAGGGAAGGGCAATCAGTTAGGGCTTCCTAGAGGCAGTGTCATCAGGTTGTTGGAACAGAAGCACTCTTAGCTTTTGCTGCTGTTGGATGTTGACCCTAAGTGTTTTAAGCTTCATCAGTGAATTACCCCTTTTCCTCCCCCCAGAGAATTTAACAATGCTCTTAACCCTGAGTTAGCACCCATAATACTCTGACTTTATTTTTAACCTGTCCTTTATTTTAGTTTCTAGATTCCCCAAGTCAGGCTTGGTTACTTATAAGTCAAACGTGGTGACTCTGGACTTTATTTGTAATAAATTACTTGCAATGCATTTGTAGTGAATAATTTGCTTATCTATTTCCCTTAAATAGCCTTTTCATATTTTACCATAGGCTTAAACATATTTTATCATATCCATATTTTACCATTTACTTGCAAGCGGCCAACATGGCTGACCCAAGTTCGATTCTTCCGCCCCTCTCGGAGAGCCCGGCAAGCTACCGAGAGTATCTCGCCCGCACGGCAAAGCCTGGCAAGCTACCCATGACGTATTCAATATGCCAAACACAGTAACAATTGTCACAATGGAGACGTTACTGGGCCCGCTCGAGCAAATCAATGAACAACAGGAAGACAGTGACAGTGACTTTGCTTAAATACAGGAAGACGTTAATGCTGTGTTCCTAATATATGGGAATTGATTGACTCTAAAGTATATCTACTCCTGGGCATCTATCATAATTACTTGACTCAGACTTCAGTTGCCATATAGTTCCTAATATCCCAAAAAGGTGGTTCCTCATCGTGGGATTTGAATAGACCTGAGACGAGTGGCAAAGCTACCCCAGTATAGGAATGGGGCAGTCTAGAAAGCATAAAAGCGATGCAAGTCATTATGACTTAAGAGACAGGATCCCCGGGGGGAAGGACAAGCTGAAGTGGCCTGAGAACCTAGTATGGGATTTATGGTAAAAACCTTGCTTGCCCTAGGAGCCCAGACAACTAAGTTTTGGAATCTCTATCTCTTACTGTGTTTATCCAAAATCACTGCAAGTATTAAGCAGCAAGGGAAAAAGAAAAGCAATAAAATGTTGGTCACCCCTGGGCAAATTTCTCCATGTAGTCCCTGGGAGACAGAGGGTCTCCTTGAGTTAATCTCCCCAAAAGAACTGACTCCATCGAAATGCTTTACCTCTGGACTGAGCAATAGTGCAGCAGGGAGAACGCTTGCCTTGCACGAGGCCGACTCTGGTTCAATCCCTGGCATCCCATGTGGTCCCTCTAGCATGGCCAGGAGTAATTCCTGACTGAAGAGCCAGGAGTAACCCCTGAGCATCCCTGAGTATCGCCCAAAACTGAAAAAAAAAAAGCCTTATCTCTGTAAATGATCAGTCAAACCAACATGCAGTACTAACTCTATATGCTCTCAAACCCCCTCAGATGTTCTGTAAGTATGCTAAATAGCTCCACATTAAGCCAGCCA